AATTAAAGGCTGCAAAAATTGAAAACAAATGAGATTGCAAAATATAGCAGGAGCAACCAAAAAAAAATTCTTCAAATATATTAACCGCTTACCCGCTTAACAGTGCTTGCTGTTTACAGTATAGCAGATATACTGCTACACGGCGGCATGGGTGCACAAAATCACATATATATATATATACATACATACATACATACATACACACACACACACACACACACACACGATTTTGCATTTCCGGGTAGGGGGCACGCACGAGCCCTACCCGCACAGCCAGTGAAGCACACCCCCCCACCCCCTAGTAAAAACACTCCTTGCACAGAGTTAACCCTTTGATCACCCCTCATTACCCCTTCCTGCCCAGTGTCATTAGTAGTGTCAGTGTTTTTTTTAGCACTGATCACTGTATTGGTGTCACTGGGGATATCAGTGACACCAATTAAGTTCCCCCCGTGTCATAATGCCCACCGCAGTCCCGCTAAAAGTCGCTGATTGCTGCCATTACTGGTAGGATAAAACAAAACAAATCCCTGTATATATACCGCCATTTGTAAATGCTATAACTTTCATCTAAACCAATTAATTTACACATATTGAAATTTATTTAGCAAAGACATGTAGCAGAATACATTTTGGCCTAAATTTGATTTTTTTTTTACTGGACGTGTTTAATAGCAAAAAGTCAAAATATTGTTTTCTCAAACTTGGCGGTCTTTTTTTGCTTATAGCACAAAAAACAAAACAAAAACGCACAGGCGATCAAATACCAAAGAAAGCTCAATTGGTGGGGAAAAAAGGAAGTAAATTTCTGGGTTTGGCGCTGCATGACCTTGCTGAAATTGTCAGTTAAAGTAACAGCGCCATAATGCAAAAAATGGCCTGGACAGGAAGGGGGGTAAATCCTCAGGAGGGCAAGTGGTTAATAGTAAGAGGTTCCGGTCCAGAGCATATAGGGCCCTTCACAAAATAAACTAGAGTGGGTGACTGGGGACAAAGAGAAGGCACATTTATTAAATACCTTCTTCAGCTCTGTGTATACAAAGGAGCATGGGGGAGCATAATGGGCATGGTAATGACACAGCTCCAGATGATCCACATTGGCTCACAACTGATATGATCCAAAAATATGATGAAATGACAAAAAAGAGAAGGGAAAAATAAAGCCGAATGACGGCTATAGCACAGTTGTCCAGTTCTGGCAGGGTGTCATATGATGTCTTCTCAGAACGCGCCCTCCCATGTGCCCCCAGCGTCACGCACCCGGCGATCTCCATGATCGGTGTCCTATGGACACAGCTGATCACATGATGAGGTAAAAGGTCAATCACAGCGGCCTTTTACCACGTGATCAGCTGTGTCCAATGACACATCAGATCACACAGTAAATACAGTTGCCAGTTAGCAGCACTTTCCTCATGCTGTTACAGAGCAGATCGGCACTGATCATCAGTGCCCAGCAGAGCCACCCAACAGTGTAGCCAGTCAGTGACCATCATTGCTGCATATCAATGCAGCATCATCAGTGCCTCCTCATTAATGCCCATCAGTGCTGCCTATCCTGCCAGCTCATCAGTGCTGCCTGATTAACGCACATCAGGAGAAAAATTACCTGTTTGCAAAATTTTATAATAGAAACAAAAATTTTTTTTTTCAAATGTTTTGCTTTTTTTTTTGTTTATAGTGCAAACAAATAAAACACCCAGCAGTGGTTAAATACCACCAAAAGAAAGCTCTATTTGTGTGTGAAAAAAATATAATATGGGTACAGTGTTGCATGACCCTGAAAGTCGTTAAAGTGCGACAGCGCTGAAAATTGTCCTGGGCACGAAGGGTGTAAAAGTGCCCAGTAGGCAAGTGGTTAAGTTGATGAAAAAGAGAAGGGGAAAATATGAACCGGAACACATCAAAAACGCATACTGAAAAGCATCCGGACTGCATGGTGTGAACCACCCAAAAAGTTTAAGTTGCTACATTGTCCCTTTTGTATTTTAAAAGCACAGACGCTGCTAAAAGCACCCTTGCCTACTAAAAAAAACCTTCATATTTTCCATCCTGGCATAAAATATATATTTTTATCAAGACAAGTAGATTGGGACCATGATTTAGTCCCTTGGACAAGTAGTTTTTTTTTTAAATTTCCCCAACCCTGCAAAGAGTGCGAGGACACACAGCAATAAAAACCTGAAAGGGGCTCTAATCCGGCTCCATTCTATCTAAAACTAATAAAGTGTTGCCTGTAGTGGTCGTTGAACAAGTCCACACACAGGAATGCTTCCACCCCCTGAAATGTATGTGGGCACCATAGGACAGGGTGAGCATTGCTCCAACACAGACAGAAGAGGCCCGGACTGTGAGGCGGTTAGTTCCGGTACATAGGAGCTCCTCAGAACGTAGGCCTGTGCCCTCGGCCGGACAGACCACCATTTACCTGGGAGGGACCCTCAGGATGGAGCAGCCTGAACAAGTATAGACGAAGCTCCAAATGAACAAGACTGAGGGGTCGGATGAGGACACTCCGGGGGGTTGTAAAGGCGAACACAACCGGCTCTCACTGCTGCCTGTATCCGGGCTTCTGCTATAACGGCAGCCCGCCTTCCTGACTGCACCGACCTCCTACCGTTACCTGCTCTGCACTCTCTCCTGTAACATTCATGGGCATGCGCAACTGCTCAGACCAATGAGCGCGAGCTGGCCGGCACAGTCGAGCGCCGAGTCCATCGATGTGAACGTCTGACGCAATCCACGACGACCAGGAACTGGATGATCGGCTGGGCACGCGTGAGCCGGTAAGGAGACGTTGAGAGGCCGGTAGGATAATGATGAAAGGGCTGCTACTGTATGTTATCTGGTCAGAGGTGTCACTTGTGTGTTATGTAGTGGAACTGCAGTCTGCCACGGTACAGGGGGTGAGGGGCAGCCAGGAAGCCTTGCTCGATGTCTGAGGTATTGTGGATGTGGTGCCTTCATTGAAAGGGGTGGGGTGGTGACAGCTGTCCCAGGTCCCATTTCTTGAGTATTGGGTGCTGGTGGTGGGAGGCTGTGCAGAGGAACTCCAGCTGCAATTACACTATATTCCCTGATCAGTCCCAGAGGAATCACATGAACTGCAGTGCAGAGGAACTCCAGGGTTCCCTGGGACTACAGCTGGAAATACAGTATATCCCCTGATCAGTCCCAGAACAATCACCTGAACTGCAGTGCAGAGGAACTCAAGGATTCCCTGGGACTTCAGCTGGAATTACAGTATATCCCCTGATCAGTCCTGGCAGAATCATCTGAAATGCAATGCGGAGGAACTCCAGGATTCCCAGGGACTACAGCTGGATTTACAATATATCCTCTGATCAGTCCCAGAAGAATCACCTCAACTGCAGTGCGGAGGAACTCCTTGTTTCCCTGGGACTTCAGCTGGAAATACACTATATTACCTGATCAGTCCTGGAAGAATCACCTGAACTGCAATGCAGAGGAACTCCAGGATTCCTTGGGACTCCAGCTGGAAATACAGTATATCCTGTGATCAGTCCCAAAATAATCACCTGAACTGCAGTGCGGAGGAACTCTGTGATTCCCTGGGACTTCAGCTGGAAAATATACTATATTACCTGATCAGTCCCGGAAGAATCACCTGAACTGCAGTGCTGAGGAACTCCAGGATTGCTTGGGACTCCAACTGGAAATACAGTATATCCTGTGATTGGTCCCAGAAGAATCACCTGAACTGCAGTGCAGAGGAACTCCTGGATTTCCAGCTGGAAATACAGTATATCCCAATACCATTTCTCTCAGCACGAGTCCCTTCTCTCTGTGTGAGTCTGGGATATTGCCCCCCATGTTTCTCTGTGAACACTACTGTGTAGAGGGAAATGTGTTCATTTCCTCCCCTCAGGTTTCAAATTACACTGAGCCTTATTTTTAGTCTGTGTGACATTGTATCTTCTACATTCTGAAAAATCCTTTGATTTGTGTGTTTTTGAGGACCGCTGATAAACAGGTACCACTTATATAGGATCATCACCCTGTAAACAAAGTTCCCTTCTCAAGGCGATATGGTGACTCTTGTGGTTTCGGCCGTGCCGATGTCCATACAGGTACCACCCCTGACGTGTTTCGTCACTCCGCACAATGACTTCCTCATAGGGGACCTTAGGAAACCACTGTGCGGAGTGATGAAACGCATCAGCGGTGGTACCCATGTGGACACCAGCACGCCCAGAAACATAAGAGTCGCCATATCCATATACCTCTCTTGTGGATGTCTATACTTAAAGATACAGTCTGTAAAAGTTTCTTATACATGGGATTCAGTGCACTTGGTTTGTGAGTATTATTTTTACCATATAATAAATGAATTCTCAGAGGAAGCATATTACGCTATGAGAGATTCTTTGTCCTTTTGCATCTTATCGATGTGATAAAGTTGCTCCCTGAAAATCAGCGATAACATACCCAGTATATGGGAAGGCACTTTCTGACCTTTACCGATAGGTGGGTCACGGCGTGAAGGTAAGGGTCAATGGAGGCAGGTGAAGGTGCACAGAGGTGGATTGCTTGGATAATTCATATAATCACCGGTGGAAGATGGAGTCACATTGACGCACCGCATCACTGCAACCGTGTGCAGTTTAATCGTTTTTGTTGTGGTATGAGCATTCCCCCTGTACAACTTTCTTTACACAGCTTAGAGGGAGTGGTTGATGGGGCAGTAAAAATGCCTTGTGCTTTTACCTCCCCCAGCTGCAATCGTAAACTAAGTCTTGAGTAACACAAGTTTTTATTATATCTTATCTGTTCAGTTACCTGATATCTTTGAGCACAGTTAAGAGGAACCCTTTTGATTTTTTTTATAGGGGGCGTTCTAAAATATGCAATATATTTTAAAGCAAGACTGTTATGTACCTTTTTGTACCAAGTGATTCTTTTCCTTGCTAATGTTTTCTAACTATGTCTTACAGTGCTTGTATTCTGTGTTGTAAACTCCGCTCTTCTAACCAGATACCATGGGGGACTGTCTGACCCCTGAGGGGAAGGCACAGCTCATTACACGCAACTTGCAGGTATGTGAATTTTAAAGGGCCTTATCAACCAAAATGTATATGTCAGTTTTTAGGAGTTAGTGGCAAGCTGAATTAAGTACTTTTTCTCTTTGAAAGCCCAGTAACTTTAGTCCTTCTCCTTGTATTTTCTTTAGTATAAATGAAAAATCCACAAATGGGTCCTCTTTGTAATCGCTACCTCTGGTGGGTAGATGGGGAAATACAAATACAGAGACTATTGCTTTGAGATCTCAGAGATAAAATGAAATAAAAGGTGGTTCAGTTGATCAAAAAAACCTTCCGTTTTTACAACCACTTTTACCCTCCCAAAAGAAAACTTTTGACTTTAGATATACACAAACCAGAGTTTATGTTCTGTGAGAGCTGCTGCTGATATCCTTCAAAAATGCCTTTTTCCTGGCTATCACACTGACCTATTATCTTCAGTACTTTGACTCGGTGATCTATGTCGCTCAAAATATAAAAAAAAAAGAAAAAGGAGTGAAAGCCGCACTTCTAGCCTTTCTAGAAAAAAAGGTGAGGAAAGATATCCTCCATGTTTTTTTTCATGAAAGGTTTCTTTTAAGCAACTATCTGTAGGGATATCAAATTCAGTGAAGAAACTTGTGCTGAGAGGGAGAAGAAAGGTAGAACAGTAGTACATTTTTAGGAAAGTACAGTTTTGGCCCAATAGGAGTTTTTCTTTTTTTTGTTGTTTTTTGTGTAATTCTGTATCCCCACGTGTATCTTTTTTTTTTTTTTTCTCTCAAAAATAATTCTTCCTGGTCCCAAACTGCAGCCCTTTATGCTGGCAGAGCTCAGTAACATCTGCACCTATGAGCCCAAGTGTGGTCCCATATACCTATATTGAAGGGGAGGTACTGAGTGCCAAATACCGAGTACTACCTTGGGTCTAATTCTAGAGCCTATTGCACTGCACAATCCTATTTAGACTCCCTGCACACCTATTGTAACTGGAACGTAGAAATATGAATATGAGGGTTGTTGGTACAATATCTGCTTACATATCTATTTATGTAGCTTCAGTTGGGCTTTAAAAGAGAAGTATGGTGTTTTATTTTTTTTTTTTTTTATATCATACTTACCTAGGTGGATGCAGCATCGGTCCCCCCTCGCCAGCTCAAAGTGTGAGAACTCAGTGATCACATGACTGCTGATTGCTGAGTTCTCGCAGTCGCTCTGAGCAGAGAACAGTGACTGTCAGTGGAGTACTGGGTTGTGGAAGGGGAGGGAGTGGCTGCCTCAGGCTCTCAGCACATCGCTGAAAGGCTACCCAGCTGCCACTCCAGGCTCTGGGGTGAATCCCGTCTTTTTAATTGGGATCTTTCCCCAGCCTGGACCGGTTGAGTGACGTCAACTGAAAACAGGTCACAGGAGTGCAGAACAAACTGCACTCCTGTGATCCACAGAAGTACAGCCAAAAAGCTTTTCTTTTATGGTGCATTTTTACCCATAGGGGAGTTGTTAGCGAATTTGGCTGCAAAAGTGAAAATAAACTTTAAACAGGGTGTAATATCTGTGTATGCATACATCACAACTTTCTGAGATGGGAAAGAGGAACACCCTTTAATGCAAACTGTGTAGACAAAAAGACACAGATGCTCTGCCATGCCCTCCAGTTAGGTAGGGTTGTATGAAAAGTTTAGTAGTGAAGTATTGTATTTATTATAGAGGTCTACACATCTGCCTTGACCACCTGAAGACCGGACTCTTACACCCCCTTCAAGTCCAGGTCATTTTTCACTTTTCTGGCTATCACATTTTGAATGACAATTACTCAGTTATGCAGCACTGTAGCCAAATAAAAGTTATATAATTTATGAGACAGAGCTTGGTGAGATCAATAATTTTAGCACCAAAGCTCCTTGGTAACTAAACTGATGACCTGTAATGGCTTTTAAAGCATCTACTATGCAAAATATAGGATATTTGAGTTTTTTTCCCAGCTTCACACACAGACACAATTTTAAAGCTTGACATGTTGGTTATCTGTTTATTTGATGCAAACTCATATTTTATAGTTTACAAAAAAATGTTGTAATTATTGTGTTTATATGCCTTAGAATTAACTTTTTTTTACTGAAAATTTGATTTACTAAACTGTTGTGCTAACATCATGTGACACAAAATTGGAACTACCACTATTTTTTCTTCTCTAAGATGTCTGCTTTCAAAAAATATATAATGTTTAGGGATTTTAAGTAATTTTTGAAATATGTAAACAAAAAAAGTGAAAAAAGGTTCCAGGACTAAAGTGGTTAAAATACTTGTCTACTGGTCCCTAACTATGACCTCTCTCTCGTACTGGGCACAGTTTAGAGGTTTTAGTTTGCCTCCTCTGCCAGCAGCCTGTAGCCAGTAAGGGGAACGCATACACCCCCCCACTCATTCCACACTGCCGTATAGTGGCAGTTCAGCACATCGCAAATTTTCAATAATTGACGTCCTTCATGCTGCATCCCATCACATTTGTCATATTACAGGTGCAACATGAAGGAGATACCAGCGCAGCTGTAGACAGTGTGTAAATGTAGGTCATAAATAACCCTCTCCACCCCACTACACAGGCCGATCAGAGGCAGTTGGATTAAACACACACTCTAAGTGCCAGAACTTCTGTAGTGTAATGGAGCACAAATATAATGTATGGGGGTGAGGGGTTGCATGGGGGGGGGGTTAGTGGGGGGATGGGGGTAGAGAAATGCGCCTTCACACCTTCAACTCTGTGTAGACAAAAATCCTTGCACGATCCCTGCTTGCGCACAGGGCAGTTCAAGTGCAATGCATTCCTCCAGGCATTTTAGTGCACCTGGGAGGGTCAGTTGCAGCATCCAGCCCCACTGTAGGCAGCGTGTCTGGACAATGCGCGTCCCTCCCAGGTGCACTAAAATGTCAAGAGGGACAGACTGCACCTGGACAGCCCTGTGTGCAAGGGGACTAACATTATGTTCGTTATTCTTTAAACGTGTTGCCTATACAAATGGTCAGGTATGCGAAAAATGTAAATGTTGTTTAAGCTTCTTTCTGTGAAGTAATTTTTTTTGGCCATGTATTTCATTGCCAATAAGTTTGCATTACTATGAAAATGAGAGTTATTCAGCTCAAATTAATCAGATATATATTAACCGCCTCCGACCCGCCATATAAGTGACAGACGCAAGGTGGTTCTTTCGTTCTGGGAGGACGTCATATGACGTCCTCCCATTCTAACTGCATGTTTGCACCGATCGGTGGTGCGCTGTGTCCCTGGGACACAGCGGATCACCGATCAACGGAAAGAGCTGAAGACGTTGGCTCTGTCATGTGATCAGCTGTGTCCAATCCCAGATGATCACATGTAAATAAGGAAATGCTGGTTATCGGCATTCCCTCTCCTCACGAGCTATCGTGCTGAGAGCTCGTGAGGAGAGGAGAGCCGGTAATTGGCATTAGGGGACATGTACACTGATCATAAAGGCACTAATGATCAGTGTGCCCTGATGATCAGTGTAGCCCCGTCAGTGCCACCTGTCAGTGTCCATCAATGCCATCTGTCAGTACCCATCAGTGCCACATCAGTGCCCATCTGATCTGCCTATCAGTGCCATATATGAGTGCTGCCTTTCAGTGCCGATCAGTGATGCCTGTCAATGCCTATCAGTGCAGTCTATCAGTTCAGCCTCATTAGCGCACATCAGTGAAGGAGAAAAATCACTTATTTACAAGATTTTATAACAGAAAGTAAAAACTTTTTTTTCAATATTTTCAATTGTTTTTGGTTTGTTTAGCAAAAAATGAAAAACCCAGAGGTGATTAAATACCACCAAAAGAAAACTCTATCTGTCTCAAAAAAATTATAAAAATTTCATATGGGTACAGCGTTGCATGACCGCGCAATTGTCATTCAAAGTGCGACAGTGCTGAAAGCTGAAAATTGGCCTGGGCAGGAAGGGGGTATAAGTGTCCAGTAGGCAAGTCGTTAAACAGAATGATAAAAATGGACTATTAAGGGATTCAGGAAGGTGCTGTGAAGTATTTAAATGTTTGCTTGCAGTGGTTTTTTTTTTTACTTTTTTCAATGTGCCTTGAAACTTGCTAAAAAATGTGACTTTCCCTATCCCAGTCCCCTCCCTCACTGCACGTCATAGCACTCTCCTCTTTTTGGCATGTCCATTTACTCTTTGTGCTAGTCCAGCACCTCCGCACAGGTCAATGGCATGCCTATAGTAAATTAAATGCACATATGATATTATGGGAATATTTTTGTTCACATTTGTATGCGACTCTGGAGACAGTAAAAAATGTTTTTTCGTTACAGGAAGTCCTAGGAGAAGACAAACTAAAGGAGATCCTGAAGGAGAGAGATCTGCGGGTGTATTGGGGCACAGCTACCACTGGAAAACCACATGTAGCTTATTTTGTGCCTATGTCAAAAATTGCTGACTTTTTAAAGGCTGGCTGTGAGGTGAGTAGAAATTATATAAAAATGTCCCGAGATTCTTTACGGCTAGCTAGCAAAAGGAAAGAAAATCTGCTTTCAACCTCTTGAACACACTGATATCAACATGCCTCTCTTCAACGTTCTCAGCGTGCTCCCGAGTACTAATCTATAGCTCCCACATTGCCAATATACAGTTGTGTTCAAAATAATAGCAGTCCAACATCTCTAACCAGATCAGTCACTGTTTTTGGTATAAATTATATTTCTTCATGGCAATATATTTACTAGCAGGTGTAGTAGAGTAATAGAAAACCAACAGACCCAGCATACATGATATGCATGCTGCATATTCTGTGTAATTGAATCATTAATTAAAGAAGCGTGTTCAAAATAATAGTGTGGAGTTCAATTAGTGAGGTCATTCAGTCTGTGAAAAACACATCAAACAGGTGGCCATTATTTAAGGACGAAGGCAGGAAACATTGTACATGCTGGTTACAGTGCATTTCTCTCTGAAAATCTGAGCAAAATGGGTCGTTCCAGACATTGTTCAGAAGAACAGTGTACCTTGATTAAAAAGTTGATTGGAGAGGGGAAAACATATAAAGAAGTGCAGAAAATGATAGGGTACTCAGCTAAAATGATCGCAAATGCTTTAAAATGGCAACCAAAACCAGAAAGACGTAGAAGAAAAAGGAAAAGAAACATTGAAATAGATTGATGAATAGGCAAAATGGCAAAGACTCCGCCAATGATTAGCTCCAGTGTGATGAAAGAAGGTTTAAAGTTACCTGTGAGTACTGTACCAATTAGACACCTATGTGAAGCCAAGCTATCTGCAAGATGCCCCCGCAATGTCCCACTGTTGAAAAATTACATGCTGAAGAGATTACATTTTGCCAAAGAGCACATTGACTGGCCAGAAGAGAAATGGCGCAACATTTTGTGGACTGATGAAAGCAAGGTTGTTCTTTTTTGGGTCTAGGGGGCTGCAGCCAGTTTGTCAGATGACCCCCCAAACACTGAATTCAAGCCACAGTACATGGTGAAGACAGTGAAGCATGGTGGCGCAAGTATCCTGATGGGAGATGTATCTCATACTATGGTGTTGGATCTATTTATTGCATACCAGGGATCTGGATCAGTCTGAATACATCAAAATACTGAAGAGGTTACGTTGCCTTATGCCGAGGAGGAAATGCCGTTGAAATGGGTGTTTCAACAAGACAATGACCCCAAAAACACCAGTAAACGAGCAACATCTTGGTTCCAGAACAACAAGATTAACATTATGGAGTGGCCAACCCAATCCCCGGATCTTAATCCTATAGAAAACTTGTGGGGTGGCATAAAAAAATGCTGTTTCTGAGGTAAAACCAAGAAATGCAGAGCAATTGTGGAATGTAGTGCAAGCATCCTGGGCTGAAATACCTGTTCACAGGTGACAGAAGTTGGACGACTCCATGACAACGCAGATGTGAAGCAGTTCTCGGAAACGGTTATACAACTATATATTCAGTGATTTACAGGAAGGCTAAACCTTCAAGCATTTTTAGTTTATACAGTAAATGTTTGAGTTTGTAAAGAAAAATGCAAACTATTTTTTTTTTTAAACCGCCTAAAATTCCTTTTTCTTCACTTTCTGTAAAGCAATAACAAATTTGCAACCTTTTCTTAATGTTTTGATTTGGAATAAACTGCAGTGTTCCCAGCGCAGTTGCGTGTATGGAAATAAAAGCTAATATAAGGATTTTGAATTTTACTCAAATTTTTAACACTGCTATATTTTTTTTTTTTTTTTTTTAACACCAGTGTATAGCAATTCGTATATTGGAAGCAAACTCACCTAACCTTTTAACCTATTTGTCCTTAAATTTTTTTGGACCTACAAAAAGGTTTATTTGGGTTTTTTGCTGACTAAAAGTGCTAAGTGCTGGCAAACTACTTGTTTTAGAGTTTGTTGGAACCTTCATTCTGCACCTTAGAATTTGTTTATAAATTGGTAATTTCTCTTTTTGTCTTTTTAATCATTGCAATGGCATGCAGTAACGCTCCTGGTTTCCGGTTGTAAAATGTCTGACAACATTTTAAACTCTGTTTATGTAAAGTTTTACAGTATCCTTTGATTTGCAGTGTACACGTTCTTAGTTGATTCATTTGCTTCTTAGGTCACAATTCTATTTGCTGACCTCCATGCATATCTCGATAACATGAAGGCTCCATGGGACCTCCTGGAACTGCGGACTCGTTATTATGAGCAAGTTATCAAAGCCATGCTACAGAGTATTGGAGTACCATTGGAAAGGCTACGCTTTGTCAGAGGAACAGAGTTCCAGCTCAGCAAGTATGTTTGCTACAAACCAGATTGATGTAAACTATTCTTTCAGTATATCCTAGATCATCTTAGTTGCTCTCATTTTATCCTCTTCCATCCAGCCCTTTTTACATCTTCCTTTTAAATTTCTACCATCATAATTTCTTTACGGTCCTTACTGTATTCACTTCTTATTTCTAAAAGTAAGGTGCAGATACTTTTAACTGATATGCATGATAGGAGAAAAATAAAATACTGTTCCTGCACCATTATAATGGTACAGGAAACTGGTTGGTTTTTGTGTCATGTGCCACATTAACTAAGCAGACAGACCTATTTCAAGTCTATTTGCACCACCCTTAAGAGCCTGCTCCTAATTATCAAAGGGATTGCAGCAGTTTTCCATATAAAAATAACTGCAGCAGATCCTTTCCAGGTAGAACCTAGCATATAGGATGTGAACTGTCAACAGACAGCTCATATCTTTATCTTTCCTTGTGCAGTGATTACACTGTATGAACTGAGCCTGAAGAGTTAACTCCCTCCTCATCCCTCCCGCACAGCTAAAAAGGCACAGGAGAGAGCGAGATCAGACCATGCAGCTCCAGCTGAACTAGAACAGGGAGCAAATCGTTTCTAATTACTAAACGGGCTTGCCCCCCCTTTTTTAATTAGGAGCATCTGCTTCATTTTTTCAGCTTAGATGAGTGGCACAAGTATGAAGTCTGTACCACTCTTTAATTCCCCAGAATGTGTACACCTGGACTCAAAATGAGGCCCAAAAATGGAGGTTGTGTCTACAAATTTTTATATATGCCATTTATTTTCCTGGATTCTTTGGGGACATAAAATGTATCTAAACCCAAAAATGAATTCTATTGCAGCATACCATACCTTGGATATAGTGGCTGCATGAGTGTTCTTTTTCAGACTTTTTTTCCTTTATTTTCACCTGGTACTACTGTGAATAAAACACTCTGCACCCATGGAGGGCAGCCATGGTTGTCATCAGGGTGGATTTGATTTAAATCACTAGTCAGGCTTGATTTAAATCCTAGTTTTCTACATAAAGACTAATTCTTGCTGGTATAACTTTAATATGCAAATAGATGAAGATTTTTAGAATAACAACTTTTCATATTAGTTTTTTTATCCCCAGTTTAACAGGTTAATCATTCATATTTGGACAACTTTTCTGTTGTACTTAGGAAGGAGAAAAATAATCATTACCTTAATAACAACAATTTAAATAGATTTATTCAACTGAAACAATAACATTACAGCATATGTTATTTGCTTAAACAAACATCCATGTTTTTTAACTTATTTGGCTAAACAAAATATATATATTTTAAGAAACTTAGACTGTCAGCCCCTTCCTCCTCACACTTAGTTTCACTTTCTTCTTGTGCAGATCTATTCCACTCCAAACAATCAGAAAAATATTGTTTCTATTCTATTCACTGAACTTCTTGAAACTTAGCACTGAAGGGGTTGATTCTGTATTCATAGGTTTGTAGAAGTTAGGATTAAGGTTTTTTTTCTTATCTCTGTTCACGTTATAACATTTTGTGCTGTGAAGAAGAGGCCTGTGATCTCCACTGAGTCAAATTCAGTTTTGAGAACTGCAAAAGTAAACCAAGCATCTGTGATAATATCTTGTAGGCAGAGAACCTGCCCAATAATCTTACAAAAACCTCTGGAAGAGCATGACATTGTGAATGGATTAATGGAATTTATTTACCAAAAAAATTAAACATATACAGCCTTATTCTACATAATTAAAAAACTAGTCTTTATTTCATGATGGAATAACCTTTGGATGGTAATATATTTTCCTCAAAAAGCATTTTATTTAAAAAAATCCAATTTAAATAAAAATTATCCAATTTAAATAAAATAAATTCGATTTTTTTGATTTTTTTAAAAGAATCATTGATTTTTATCCACCCTGGTTGTCATGCAGGCTGTACTTTGGACAAGTCAGCCCATATTACATGGTGGATCGAAATATTACATTTTTCAGGAGGGGGTGATTGGTATATATGCTTTAATGTTTTTAGAGTCTGGAATTGTTTCATACTTTCAAAGTGCTATAATTTGCCATTTGTTAGTCTGCTTGCACAGATAAGTGATTGCTGAGGAAAAATTAAAGTGTTTGTAAACCCTTACATATACCTATAGAGGTGACTAGCCTTAGGTGATGCACAAAGATGAAAAAAAGCCTCCTACATAAGTTGTACCTGTTTATCTGCAGTCTTCTTTTCCCTACATCCCTTGAAAGTGCTGAGTTTACAAAGCTTGTAGAGCTGTCAAAAAGGGATGGAGAGCTGAAGTTAGACTCTGCAGAGCTCAGTGAGGGCGGCTCTGAGAGCTGATTAGAGGGAAGGGACACGCCCTCCTTCACACAGCTCACAGGACAGAGCTGAGGCTGTCAGTCTGCCGGAGGTCCCTCCCTTGTCACCATTTTTCTTTTAGTGTCAGGAAAACTTGTCAGGAGCGATTCATGCTGATAGCAGAGGAATGAAGCAGCTGAGAGAAATGATACTGCTCTTAATTCAGACAAGTAGACACTATAAAGGAATATGCTTTGTTCATATTTCATGTCTGAGGTTTACAACCACTTTTTTTAAGTTGCAAAGCTCTCCTGTTTATACCAGTGAAGACTCATGAATCTGTATTTGCTTGGAATAGGTAATCCATGAGAGATTTTTATTTATAGGATTCATGTGCACTCCCTGGTGCATTGCTAAGGTGTAGAAACTAGGGTCCCAGTTTGCATGGGTATGCTGCTGCTACAAGGGTGCAGGAAGTTCCCATGCCACCTTCTACCAACAGCAGTCTGGTCAAGCAGTGTGTGTGCTTTATATGCTCTTCAGGATTTGTTACCTGATTTTGAACTTGTTAGGTACACAGCATGGATTTCTATGGACAGCTTTAGGTGGTGCGCAGAAATATCTGAGCTTCAGTTCCACTGCCAAGTCTAAATGTGCCAATTAGTTTACTGTATCAATAAAATCCGAAATGCTGCACAGTATTAAGACTTACTACATATCTGTTTACTTGGGCTCTGCTTTGTCTTACAGAGAATACACACTGGATGTGTACAAACTCTCCTCCGTAGTCACTCAGCATGACGCTAAAAAAGCTGGAGCAGAAGTTGTAAAACAAGTGGAACATCCACTGCTTAGCGGGCTTCTATATCCTGGATTGCAGGTAGGTTCAGCTAAAGTTAGATGGATAGGGACACTAGAATGAATGTATGCCAAAAGTTCTTTTTTTTTTTTTAACTTCTCAATTTCTGCAGGCCTTGGATGAAGAGTATTTAAAAGTTGATGCACAGTTTGGGGGAGTAGATCAAAGGAAGATTTTTACATTTGCTGAAAAGGTGAGTTTATTTACCCGTGTAAAATATAAGGATGGTAGACACCATGCAGGCTTTAATTGCGACAGGAGCGATTCTCTGATGTCAGCTGAATGGTTGGACAACTGATGGATTGTAGTAACTTTCTGGACAAGGTGGCATCTGATGTAAATTGCTTAGCAGTATTGTGAAAAATGGATTTGGTTTACTGTTCACTTTGCAAGCGCATTTGCATTCTGTAAGGAAATTCTCCCCAGAGCTTAGTGCATGAGGTGAGGCTTTGCTGACTTTCATCTTCCAATCATGTACAAGCAAAAATGCTGTTTGGTTTTTTTTTTTTTTTTTTTTTTTCTTGCATGTGGTTTAAACTTGACCACATTCACTAAGCTCTGGAGATAATTCCCTTTCAGAGTATAACAGTCTATACGCCTTTGGTAAATTATCCAAGTATAGTTGTCCTTATACAATTTAAAGGTGAATTCTATCTTTAAGATTGCTCTATGTGGCGTGATGTCAAGTGTCACTCATTTCAATGGGCTCCCTACAATGCTTCTCAGTGTATCATTGAGGTCCACCCAGTGCTGAACAGATCTTATTAATATCCCATTTCTCCAGAGTTATGAACTGGGGTGCATGTTGAGGCTAACCTAATTGTTTAACTACATTGTAATATGTAGCAAGGTCCGGGACCTGGCTGTGCACTCTAAAAAGGTGTTCCCAGATCATATGAACAGAATTACAGTTGTTTGGCAAGGAAAAGATTTCATACATTAATTGTACCATTTGTTTAGAGCGGGGTCAGTAACCCGTAGATCGTGATCTACCAGGTGACTGGTAGATCACAGTTTGGGCTTGCTGACCCGCCATCCCAGAGCATCAAACAGAGTGCAATGCAGAGGGACTACTTGTAAAGTTGGAGCTGTAGTAAGGAGCAAGAGCCTCATAAGCCAATGGCTCCTTTGTTTTGCTGGCTCCTGTCCCATGCGGAATGATACCAACTACACTCCACCTCTTATCCTGGCTAGCTTTCTCCAGAGTGGTGCCAACAGCAGGAAAGAAGAGATTTTCAGGTCAGTGTGAAGCAACACACTGGGCATAATACTCTAGTATAGGGCTGCTTTCACACTGATGTGCTGCAGTTTACCCACATCGCGAGTGCAGTGCAATTTTCCTGCAGCTTTCCTGCAGGTTTGTTGCACTTAGCCATAGACTTCTATTCTATCTTGTGGGTTTGGTGCACTTTTTGCAGGATATAATAGAAGTCTATGGCAAACTGCTGCTAACCCAGGAAAGTCACAGATGCACTGCACTGCAGGTAAACTGCAGCATGCCCGTGTGAAAGCAGCCTCATAGGTGGCTCAGAACAGTAAGGGTTCATTTACGTTTGCAGTTTGGGGGAAGGGGAGGTGTGTGCTAAATCCCCATAGTTAAAACATGTTTTTCACCACCCCCACCCCCTTTAGCAGCAGTGGCCATGGATGTACACATGTTGCAGCCATAGTAGGAGTTATATGCCCTGTCATGGTTGGTGGGTGTAGTGCCTGCCATGTATGACCCATTCAAGTGAATGAAGCTGCCTTGCAGGTGTTAAAGCAAGCAGTGTTGTGTTGCTTTCTGACCACCTTCTTTATCCCCTTGGACCCCACAGAAGCATGCTGTTGTGGGGCACTTGCAGAGTGCCCCATTTACTTGAATAGGTCGCTACTGGTAGGCGATAGCACCCAGCAAAAGAAAAAGGGGGTTTAATTCCCACTGCACCATGTGTACACCTGTGGCTGCTGCCTCAGCTGTTAAAGGGGGTAGGGATTGGGGTGCTAAAACCGTAACTCAATGCAGGATTTTATCCCCCCCCCCCCCCAAAAAAAAAAAAACAAAAACCTGCCCAACTTTAGGTGTAAATGAGCCCTAAGTGTGCTGCTGCCAAATGCACCTAAGGGCTCATTCACAAGTGTAGTAGGCACTGCTGCTCCTCTGAAGAGCAATCCGAGTGAGTTTGACAAAATATTGCCTCCTCACCACCTGATTTAAACCCATGATTGCCATGCAATGCACATGATTATGACATGGTAGTACGGCAGTTAGAGGTTTAAATCAGGTGTGAGGAGGCGACACTGTGCCTGGAGATCTTTGACTTCTTCAATGTTGTTCAGGCTGATCTCTACGTCTTCAAGGTTGCGTTCCCCTGATTTTAGAGTATAGCAACCAATGGATATGATGTTAATATTTCTTGTCTCTGGATTCTGGAAGTAGTGGGACATTTTTGATTTTGCTTATTGGAATTTGTTGTTTTGCTTTTGTAATATTTAATTGTTGTACATAAATGTTGGCTTCCCTTTAAGTTGGCCACAACAGCAAAATAGTTAAAGGCTACGTTCGCCTTTGGGAACATTACATGTCACACCTGATGTACACCCCCTCCTTCACCGCGACAGACTGACTTGCAGTTTCAATGGAATGCAGATGTGCTGATCAGCACACTTGTAGTCCATTCGCAAGTCCTACAGCTTTCAAATAGGCCATGCAGAGGGCAAGTGCAATGCTTTTCAGACTCCTGGTTAATAATAATAATACAAATACTAAATGTCCCATTTTTTTTTCCTGAAAAAACATGTGCATGTATTTTTTTTTTTCCTCCAAAGGTGAATTTAACCTTTAATCCTGTGCACACTGATCCATATACAGCTAAGTCCATAGACTGGCAAATTTAGAGGTTGTTTGATCTCCCATTAAATAATAGAACAGTATTTGTAAATGTGACCTATTAGATGTATTTCCAAATAAACATTTGCAGTGATAGAAAATCTCTTTATAAACTTGTAATATATAAATATAGCTCTTCACCCTAAGCTATACATATTTCTAGGATTAATGTTTCCCCTCCCAGCTCTCCAATACCAGGAACTCTATATACATTATCCTCCCTATAATCTGTGCACTGTTATGTAGATTTCTGATGCTGAATGACCCTAATGTCCTTATGTCCCAGTAATCTCCTTAAATTACATAGGATTTCAGATCCAGAACTTGGCTCAGTTGCACTTTTTGCCAGAAAGATTTTTGTGGGAGAAAAGATTACTGCTGAGATTATGAAATAGAATCTTGCAGTTTCTGGGTGGAAGACCTACCTGCAAAAAAAAAACATAAGTGTGTGTGTGTGTGTGTGTGTGTGTGTGTGTAATATATATATATAATCTCACATTCAGTATGACTTAGTAGGCGGATGACTGGTCCATGTCTGCTTTGCTTGTGCAGAACAGAGTCTGTTCTTCTCTATGGGCAGTCGCATGTGAACAGACTGCCTGTCCATTTACACCTGACTGCCATCTGATCCTGATCCGATCTGCCCAGACAGCAGGGAACGGATCCCCACCCGCCTTAGAGGATCAGGTTGAATTAATTGTAAACGGACACATGTCCGTTTACACCCGCTGCTCCATAGAGGAGAATGGAGGGTCTGATCTGGTCCACCTGGAAAACGGACAGGCAGACCAATCGGACCGCTAGTGTAAAAGGGGCCTTTTTGTTAAAAGGCTGTGCCAACGACCAACTCACTTTTTAGGAAAAAATACTGTTTAAGTTAACATGGATTTATCTCTGAATGTTCTGGTCTGATTGTCATGTAGTTGTTAGTGTACAAAAAACCTTTAGTGTAGTTTTTACACACAATTCAGAATCAGTATAGTAAGACTAATTCATAACCTCAGATATTTTAAGTTCAAAATACACTGCTCAAAAAAATTAAAGGAACACTTTGAAAACACATCAGATCACAATGGGGAAAAATCTCCTGCTGAATATCTATACTGTTATGGACTTGGTAATGTGTTAAGAATATAAGGATGCCCCATTGTTTGATGGAAATGAAAATTATCAACCTACAGAGGACTAAATTCAAAGATACCCCAAAAATCAAAGTGAAAAAATGATGCAGCAGGCATGTCTATTTTGCTGAAATTTCATTACAGCAACTCAAAATGGAACTCAGTAGTTTGTATGGCCCCCACGTGCTTGTATGTATGCCTGATAATATCTGGGAATGCTCCTAATGAATGATTGATGGTGTGCTGATATATTCCCTCCCAGATCTGGACCAGGGCATCACTGAGCTCCTAGACAGTCTGAGGTGCAACCTGGTGGTGTCAGTGGACCGAAACATGATATCCCAGAGGTGTTCTATTGGATTTAGGTCAGGTGAGCGTGGGAGTCATTCAATGTTATCAATTCCTTCATCCTCCAGGAACTGCCTGCATACTCTCGCCACATGAGGCCAGGCATTGTCGTGCACCAGGAGGAACCCAGGACCCACTGCACCAGTCTGACAATGGGTCCAAGGATTTCATCCCGATACCTAATGGCAGTCAGGGTGCCATTGTATAGCCTGTAGAGGTCTGTGTGTCCTTCCATAGATATGCCTCCCCAGACCATCACTGACCCACCATCAAAACGGTCATGCTGAATGATGTTACAGGCAGCATAATGTTCTTCATGGCTTCTCCAGACCCTTTCTCGTCTGTCACTTGTCAACAGCAGGGTGAACCTGCTCTCATCTGTGAAAAGCACAGGGCCCAAGTGGCGGACCTCCCAGTTCTGGTGTTCAATGGCAAATGCCAATTGAGCTCTATGGTGCCGGACAGTGAGAACAGGGCCCACTAGAGGATGTCTGGCCCTCACTCCACCCTCATGAAGTCTGTTTCTGATTTGTTTGGTTACAGACATTCAAACCAGTGTCCTGCTGGAGGTCATTTTGTAGGGCTCTGGCAGTGCTCAATTCTTTTCCTCCTTCCACAAAGGAGCAGATACCGGTCCTGCTGATGGGTTAAGGGCCCTGTCCAGCTGTCCCCCAGAGTAACTGCCGTCTCCTGGAATCTCCTCCATGCTCTTGAGACTGTGCTGGGAGACACAGCAAACCATCTGGCAATAGCATGTATTGATGTGCCATCCTGGAGGAGTTGGACTGCCTGTGCAACCTCTGTAGGGTCCAGGTATCACCTCATGCTACCAGTAGTGACACTGACCCTAGCCAAATGCAAAACTAGTGAAAAACAGAAAAGATGAGTAGGGAAAAAAGTGTCAGTGGCCTCTACCTGTAAAACCATTCTTGTTTTGGGAGTTGTTTCATTGTTGCCCATCTAGTGCATATGTTGTTAATTTCATTAACACCAAAGCAGCTGAAACTGACCCCTTCTGCTACTTAACTGGCCAGATCAATATCCCAGGAGTTTAATTGACTTGATGCTATACTCTGATTAAGAAGTGTTCCTTTAATTTTTTGAGCAGTGTAGTTTGTACAGTACCACACAGGTGCAGGGTACCATCTGTTGAACAATTGTATATACATTTCCCTTGTGAACTAGAATAAGTCAGTAATACAAAATCCTAGACTTTAATATCTCTCTGGAATCCCAAATCATTTAGCCAGGCAAAAAAACTGAGACCTCTTCAGGAACTTCAGATTTTATCATGGAAAATTAGAGCCAAGAAATGGCATCACTTCTCCAATGTGAATATTTACAGGTAATTTCAAATTTAGGTTTTCTGGATTGGATGAGAATTATTGGTAGAAATGCGGTTTCATCAAATGCCCAGTTTCGAATGCTTTGGTTTCTTACAAATTTACTGTAACTAGCTTAGGACTTTGATTAAGTTTTTTGGAGCATGTGTAGCATGTCCAGTCCTTCTGTCCTGCTGGCACCTACCCCTTCTCCACTTGCTAGCAATTACCAACATTTAAAATGAAGCTAGGATTTGCTATGTATGTACAGTATCTCTAGCAGCTGCTGCTGTAAGAACAAAAAGCCACTTATTAACAGCCTATGAACAGCCAGTGGTTAAAATAAAAATTTGATACTATCAATTTGACCCATTTTTTAAAATGACACTGAAATTAAACTTTTGCTATAAGTTACTTACAAATGAAATAAAGTTTTTTTGTTTTTTTATTTCATTTTTATATGACAATGAAAAAAGCTAAGGATTGATAAGGGGTTTAAAAAAAAAAACACTTGTTATATTGTATCACTCTCTCACTGATTAGTGTTTAATAAACCCTGTCAGATTGTTGTGTGTGTGTGGTTTTTTTTTTTTTTTTTTTTTTTCATTTAAATGGCAGCTATTGCAGCAGCTGTCATTTTGGAGTGAATTCTGTTGCTAAGAGGCAGTCGGCTGCTTGCTCCCCTGTGTTTCACAGACACTGTTTAGAGTTGGTTTCAGGAGAGGCTATTTATTCTTATTTAGTTTTGGTTAGAAAGCAAGGGTTTGATCTGTCTGTTTTTCTGTTTCAATATTTTTATTAAGAAAGTTTTGTTTTAAGAATGCAACAAGCTCAAGATACGCCCATGCGGGGCAGAGCAGAACAATAACACATAATTAGATACATCCTGCTGACTTGTATTAGTCAAATAACGAAATGTCCAATGACATCAAAGAGGGATGGCAAAAAGCCAAACCAAATAATAGCAGCAGTAATCCAACATATTACTGAAAAGAAAAAAGGTTAGAAGAAAGGTTAAAGAACATAAAACGACAAAAAAGGAATCAAAAAGAAAACATGGAGGAAAGGGAAACTAGAAGAATCACGGATTCAGGGCTAGCACAGGCAGACTATAAGAGGCCATAACTAGTAGGAGGCAGGGATGGCAAGGAATAACGTATCCAAGTTTCCCAAACCTTAAGGAATCTCGGATGAGAGTCATGAAGAATGCTAGACATCTGTTCATTGATCAACATAGCATTCATCCGCGTCTTCACCCCCCGATCTGTCTGTTTTTATTGCTATCTCTCTCACTCTTTGTCCTGTTGACCATTGTCACTGGGACTGAGCCCTGGTTCACACTGATGCAGTGTGGCACATTGCTTGTGATTCACACAGGAACCACACCACATTCCTGTGCAAATCGCATGTGATTTCTGTGCGGTGCAATTTGAACCATACATTTTGTATGGCTCAAATTGAACTGCATCCGCACCAAAATAGTGCAGGACCCTTTTTTAGTCCGCACCAGAATCAGATCGCATTGGGTGTTCACACCCATGCGGTACGCTTCTGCACATCGCACTGCATCTTGCGAACTGATTTCAGGGTGTTGTTAACTTAAAATACACACTTGCAATGGTTCATGTGAACGGGGTGCGATTATGATGCGGTGTGGCAATCGCACAGAAACAAGTGCAAATTTTGCACCCCATCAGTGTAAACCCTGCCTGAAAGTAAGACCGAATGCAAAATTTTCAGTTGTCACCAGATGAGGAATAGAAGGGAAATCTTCCAGTACTTCAAGTATACTTGTGTTGGTGACATCTGCCTAAAAGGAGAATTTCCCTCACTATGCAGAGATTTAATTTGTTTCTCAAACAGTAAGTGAAGGGCAATCTTTCCAACCAGACACGTCATAAAATACATTGGTTGGGGTTTCAACCCTTACCTACCCTGTATAAAACTGAAAAAAAGTTATCCTATACATACACTCACCGGCCACTTTATTAGGTCCACCTGTTCAATTGCTTGGTAACACAAATTGCTAATCAGCCAATCACATGGCAGCATCTCACTGCATTCAGGCATCTAGACGTGGTGAAGACAACAATCAGAATGGGGTAGAAAGGGGATTTAGGTGACTTGGAATGGTTGTTGGTGCCAGATGGGCTGGTCTGAGTATTTCAAAAACTGCTGATCTACTGGGATTTTCACACACAACCATCTCTAGGGTTTGCAGAGAACGGTCCGAAAGAAAGAAAATATGCAGTGAACGACAGTTGTGTGGATGAAAATGCCTTGTTGATGTCAGAGGAGAATGGGCAGACTGGTTCGAGAAAATCAAAAGGCAACAGTAACTCAAATAACCACTCGTTACAACCAAGGTATGTAGAATACCATCTCTGAACACACAACACGTCAAACCTTAAAGCAGATGGACTACAGCAGCAGAAAATCACACTGGTTGTCACTCCTGTTAGCTAAGAACAGGAAACGGAGGCTCCAATTCGCACAGGCTCACCAAAATTGGACAATAGAAGATTGGGAAAACATTGCCTGGTCTGATGAGTCTTGATTTCAGCTGCGACATTCAAATGGAAGGGTCAGAATTTGGCGAAAACAACATGGAAGCATGAATCCATCCTGCCTTATATCAATGGTTCAGACTGGTGGTGTAATGGTGTGGGGGATATTTTCTTGGCACACTTTGGGCCCCTTAGTACCAATTGAGCATTCTTTAAACGCCGCGGCCTGGTCGGAGTATTGTTGTCGACCATGTCCATCCCTCTATGAGTACAGTGTACCTATCTTCTGATTGCTACTTCCAGCAGGATAATGCGCCATGTCACAAAACTCAAATCATCTCAAACTGGTTTCTTGAACATGACAATGAGATCACTGTACTCCAATGGCCTCCATAGTCACCAGATCTCAATCCAGTAGAGCACCTTTGGGATTTGTTGGAATGGGAGATTCGCATCATGGATGTGCAGCCAACAAATCTGCAGCAACTGCATGATTTTATCATGTCAACATGGACCAAAATCTCTGTGGTATAAATCTGACATGGTGTTGGAAACCTTCCTCAAAGAATTAAGGCAGTTCTGAGGGCAAAAGGGGGACCAACCCAGTACTAGCAAGGTGTACCTAATAAAGTGGCCAGTGAGTTTACATTTATCATTCAGATGTGTCAGCTGATCTAAATTATTCCAGAACATTTGATTTGACATGTCCGGTGCAAATTTGATTTTGCTGATCACTTTACTTTCCTTTTTCTTCTATACAGTACCTGCCTGCTCTTGGTTACACCAAGCGTATTCATCTGATGAATCCTATGGTTCCAGGACTCACAGGCAGCAAGATGAGTTCTTCTGAGGAGGTAATATAAATGTGAGATGCCAAAAAATAAAAAGTATATACTTTTTTTTTTATCATGCTGGCAGCAGATTTGTAATTCTAAATATATAATTTGTTAAATTGTTGGTAAAATATCAAATAATCCATGAGAACACTATTGATAATAAATGTTAAAGGGTAACTATACATTTAGGTAACATAATCCTACTGACCTCCCTCTGGTATGCAAGCTATATACTCCCTCAAACTTGTCTTAGATTAGTGGTGTCGCAGCCTATGTTGAAGCAAGCAGCACCCTCCCCTCTTGGGTCAGGTCATATGTTATGTATTATGGCTTGTTCTCTATAGACTCCAATGGAAAATTTCAATTAAGCCTTATAGTGAAATCAAGGCATGTGCAGTACCATATTGTCCAGACAGCTGAGTAGAGGAGCAGATCACCACTCCTGGACCAGGTCTCCCACTGAGCTAATGCAAGTTAGTACATGGGAATATAGAAATGTGTGGTCAGAAGTACATTTTTTTCCCTTACTAATGTTTGTATACTAGTGTTTTTTTCACTCTGCATGCATCCAGTTATTTAATGTTAGCTGTACTATCGCCAATAAAGCAAATATTAAAGTAGTTGTAAAGGCAATATTGTTTTAATTAATGTAATAAAGTTGTATTGTGCAGAACGGCCCCTAACCACCTCTGCTGGGGGTCCCCCACTGGTGTTCTCCACTACTCCTGTGTGTGTCTCCATAGCAAGCTGTGTGCTTTGGGGGCACAAATGCAGGTGTTGTGAGCCAGGCTGTGTGTGTCCATAGACAAACAAAGCAAGGCTTGGAATGCATTAAGGTAAAGAAAACTTTTTGACTTTAGAAAGACTTTAAAACCTTTTATAATGTTTATTGCCATTTATGTGAAGCCAATGTGGCTTTCAGGACTCATGTGACTGAAAAGGGCCATGGACAGTATGCAAGTGTCCATACAGTGCATCCAGAAAGTATTCACAGCGCTTAACTTTTGCCACATTTTATGTTACAGCCTTATTCCAAAATGGATTAAATTCATTTTTTTCCCTCAGCATTCTACAAACAATACCCCATAATGACAACGTGAAAGAAGTTTGTTTTGAAATCTTTGCAATTTTTTAAGAAATGAAAAAACCCACATGTACATAAGTATTCACAGCCTTTGCTCAATACTTTGTTGAAGCACCTTTAGCACCAATTACAGCATCAAGTCGTTTTGAGTATGATGCTACAAGCTTGGCACACCTATTTTTGGGCAATATCTCCCATTCTTCTTTGTAGTACCTCTCAAGCTCCATCAGGTTGGATGGGGAGTGTCGGTGTTCAGCCATTTTCAGATCTCTCCAGAGATGTTCAATCGGGTTCAAGTCTGGGCTCTGGCTGGGCCACTCCAGGACATTCACAGAGTTGGCCCATAGCCACTCCTTTGTTATGTGGGCTGTGTACTTTGGGTTGTTGTCCTGTTGAAAGATGAACCGTCACCCCAGTCTAAGGTCCAGAGCGCTTTGGAACAGGTTTTCATCAAGGATGTCTCTGTACATTGCTGCATTCATCTTTCCTTCAATCTTGACTAGTCTCTCCCAGTTCCTGCCACTAAAAGACATCCGCACAGCATGATGCTGCCACCACCATGCTTCACTATAGGGATGGTATTGGCCAGGTGGTGAGTGGTGCCTGGTTTCCTCCAGACATAACGCTTGGCATTCATGCCAAAGAGTTCAATCTTTATTTCATCAGACCAGAGAGTTTTGTTTCTTATGGTCTGAGAGTCCCTCAGGTGCCTTTTGGCAAACTCCAGGCGGGCTGCCATTTGCCTTTTACCGAGGAGTGGCTTCTGTCTGACCACTCTACCATACAGGCCTGATTGGTGGAGTGCTGCAGAGATGGTTCTTCTGGAAGTTCTCCTCTTTCCACAGAGAAACGCTGGAGTTCTTTCAGAGTGACCATCAGGTGCTTGGTTACCTCCCTGGCTAAGGCCCTTGTCCCTCGATCGCTCATTTTGGCCAGGCGGCCCACTCTTAAGAAGATTCCTGGTGGTTCCAAACTTCTTCCATTTACGGATGATGGAGGCCACTGTTTTCATTGGGACCTTCAATGCTGCAGAGATTTTTCTGTACCCTTCCCCAGATCTTTGCCTTGATACAATCCTGTGTAGGAGGTCTACGGACAATTCCTTGGACTCAATGGCTTGGTTTGTGCTCTGACGTGCACTGTTGACTGTGGACCTTATATAGACAGGTTTATGCCTTTCCTAATCATGTCCAATGAACTGAATTTCCCACAGGTGGACTCCAATCAAGTTGTGGAAACATTTCAAGGATGATCAGTGAGAACAGGATGCACCAGAGCTCAATTTTGAGTGTCATGGCGTGCATGTGAACTGATGTCTCTGCAAGTGTAATCTACGTGTCAATTTTTTGGCACAAAAGGTTTGAACGAGGCCTAAATGTCATGTCTGATAGAATTGTGTTGTGCATTCAGACCTCGCTCATATCAGGGTGCAGAATAACTGTTGGAAAGCGACGCGCAGATTTCACTTGCAGAGACACAAGTTTACATCAGTTTTCATGAGTTTATACACATTGCAGGTTCCTGCGCAGACCAAATCTGCCAGTGATACCAGTGTTGTAGTGTGAACAGGGCACATAGAGTGCAATTTTTTCTTTGTGCCCTTGCAGAATGCTTGCAAGAAAATTCATGTCTATACACACTGGGGAGAATGAAGCCTCAGAAGGAATGAGACTAAGTTTGAGCCATTTATGGACAGCTTTCCAGGGTTTTCTCCCATCCTTTATTATTCTATTCCCAGTATTAAAATGTGGCACAGAAACCAGGGTGTGAAAATTTTAACACATGCTTTTTGTGTTTACTTAAATCTGCAATATGATGTAGCTTTACATACTTAATTGTGATTGTTCTATTATAGTGTTTTATATAAGCTGACCTTTAGTTTGTAGCTTCTGAGTGGCATAGCTTATTAGTATTTGTATAATGTTCCTAATCAACCTTTTCTATGCCTAATACTGTGCTCACTGTCCATAACCATTCAAAATTGCTGTCATAATGTTTCAGGAATCAAAAATAGACCTTCTGGACTCCCCATCAGATTTGAAAAAGAAGTTAAAAAAAGCTTTCTGTGAACCAGGAAATATAGAGAATAATGGAGTATTAAGCTTTGTCAGACATGTCCTCTTTCCTCTGAAGTCAGGTAAGAGTGTACAGTATGTGAGGAAATTGCCAATAATTCCTTCATTTTACCTGTGGTTTTCTCACCTTGCTTTCTTTTGGATTTCAGAGTTTGTCATTCTTCGGGATGAAAAGTACGGTGGGAACAAAACCTACACAGACTATGAGACATTGGAAAAAGACTTTGCTGAGCAGGTTAGAAATCAATGAGCTGCCTTGTATTTGAGTGGCATCATCTGGTAGATTTGTCTTTTTATTGTTGATCTTGCATCTGGAAACCCGTTGTCGGTTTCTGTAACCGCTTTCCTGCCACCCTATAGCAGATATACTTCTATAGGGCGGCAGGGGGGCGCAAAATCATGTATATATACATGATTTTACATTGCAAGTCGGCACCCGGTGATCGAGGAGCATTACCGATGGAGGGAGAAAACTGTAAGTAAACAATACAGTTCTCTCTCCTGTCAGCTCCTGCACACTGCTATGCATGGCTTTGGATAGCAGAGCAATTGCAAAGCAGTGTGCTTACAGTGAAGCACACACACACAGTTTACAGTAAAACAGCACAGAGTTAACCCTTTGATCGCCCCACATGTTAACACCTTCCTGCCCAGTGCCATTAGTACAGTGTCAGTGCTTTTTATTAGCACTGATCACTGGGGATGTCAGTGACACCAAGTCCGTTCCCTCAGTGTCAGAATGCCCACCACAGTTCCGCTATAAATTGCTGATCCATTACCAGTAAAAATAAAATTCCAGCATCTATACCGCCATTTGTAAACGCTATAACTTTCACGTAAACCAATTAATTTACATGTATTGGGATTTTTTGTTAGCAAAGACATAGCAGAATACATTTTGTCCTAAATTTATGACACAATTTGATTTTTTTTAATTTTTTTTGAGTGGGGGATGACAACTCATGTATGACTTGGTCTTCCATTGATCTGTAAACTAGCCTTAGACTTGAAATGATGGTCAGATATGCCTTCCTATCCTTTCATATGGCAGGATCAGAAAATGATCATCTAATGTCTGTTGAAACCTTTAATGTAAAGTTTCAATATCAGAGTGAAAGGCTGACAACCATGTGAACAAGACTTCTTGGGGTGCCATTCCTTTAAGTTCATTTTATATCATTCAGTTAATATGCATTGCACTGACTTAACCCATTAACTGTTTGCTTTAAAATGGTTAGAAACTAACTATGGTTTAAGTTCATTTTTTTACTGTAGAATGGTTGTAAAGGGTTGGGAAACTTTTACCAACATGAAGGCTTTGTGTCAAAGTCTAAAATGCTTGAATCACATTTTTATGTGAAATAAACATGCTTCTTGCAGCAAGTTCATCCTGGAGATCTTAAGGCATCTGTGGAGAAGGCTTTGAATAAATTGTTGGATCCCATTAGAGACAAATTCAACAGCCCTGAAATGAAGAAACTAAGCAGTAGTGCCTATCCTGACCCCACAAAACAAAGTAAGTGTTGACTGAACTCACTACTTGTGTTTTTCTGTGAAAACAATTACCACATGGTAAAAGATAACAGCACTTAATATAGCAACAGCGGCAATAAACCTAATAAGACCTGATACCTTTTGATTTTTCTACATCTCAGGATTTTCAGGTTTCCTAGAATTAAAAGCACTGGTACTCTATTCAGAATAACTATGATCATATAGCCTTGTGCATATCCTGGGTGTGAAAGAGGAACTGCCAGAGAAAGTAATGGCAATCTATGCTGTGCGTGTATCGGGATGACTTGGCAGTATTCTCTGTTGTAGTTTCTGTCCTCACCACTTTATTCTCCAAAGTATGCTAAAAGTGGCTTCAGGTACAGGTTGGTTTGAGCCCGCATAGTATTTACCATGCATGCAAATCATTACACATTAGTGAAGAATAAAAGTGGTCTATAACAGCAAATTTCAACCAGGGTGTCTTCTGGGTATTTCAGGGGTGCCTTGGCAAAATGACTAAAATCACCCAAAATTGTCAACAAGCCAGCAAGTGGGTAACGTCTGCTTGCTTGCTACACAAAGCCTCAGGCTTAGTAGTACAGCATTACAACTTTGGGCACTGTGTGGGCCAGCCAGTGGCATGCTGGCAATCAGTAACAGCATTGATTTGATAATTAGGACCCTAGGTGCCTGCTCAGCATCCTTGTTTGCCTCTCTCTGTCAGCACTGGGGTCACATTAGCTGAGCAAGAGAAAAACATTGGAGGAAAAAGAGACACTGAAATACTAGTCAGTTCCAGTGTGCAAAGGTGTATCTGCTTTAGAATAGATCACTTCTAATGTTGGATGTCCTATGCATGTGGATGTTGTTGTGTTATATAAAACTATTAGTTTAGTTTTTTTTACATTTTTAAAATGGGGTGCCTCAAGATTGTTCAGAATTTTAAAGAGTGCCTTGGCTGAAAAAAAAAGGTTGAGAAACACTGGGCTATATAAACATAACTAAAAATACAAATTTTCTTGGCTGATAAGCGTGCCTTTTGTATTTTAATCACACTTTGTTTTACAACTATAACTCATAGTTTTGTTTGTAACGTGCTATATAATTTCAGAGTCTGTGACTAAAACCACCAACAAGAGTAATGAGCCAGAGGATCTTATTCCATCTCTTCTTGATCTGCGAGTTGGTAAAATCGTCAGTGTAAGCAAGGTATGTAAATTATGAAGTATATAATATTTTTTTTTTTTTTTCTTGCTTAGCAAAAATGATAGCTATACATTTTTAATATGCTGTGGCTTTTGTAATAACTGAGCATGAACAGGGTTAAAGTGTACCTAAACTCAAGAATGTCAAATTAAATATTGTAGTCCTTTTGATGTGATGACTGCATTGTTTTGTTTAGTTATTTTGGGGGGGGGTTTTTTAAAGACATTTTTGCCTATATCACTTGGTATTCCTGCCAGGAACAGGCTTCCTGTCCTAGGATGTAAATGCTCACTTGTTGCACTGCACCTATGGAGAAGCATTGTTGCCCTAGGACAAGAAGTGTATTAGGAGTACAGAAAACATGCCCCTTCTCCTTATCTTTATAAGGGCCCTGTAGTTCGGAGAAAACATTGAGATTGAACAGGAATTCTGTCCAGATGACCGTGTGGGTTTTTTTGCACTTTTTGAAGATATAGCAAATTGCTTTTAATGGCACATTTAAAAGACCAAAATTGCGTAAATAAGAGAAATATTTTGCTGGGGTTTACACTTTAGTACAGCAGTGCAAGAGGCATACCTCAAACTATAATAGCAATGAAGACCAATTGGGATGATGAGTTACTGCATGTTGCTCCTTGCAGTGTTTGATAGATATAATATCCAAGAATACTTTTGCCTACCTAGTTTCTAAGTTAGTCATTTAGATTCTTCAGAGATTTTGGTCTTTAGTAACTGTAAAATGTGTAATGCTTGAGAAAAAATACTATCTGTATGGTCTGTTTGATATGTTTAAAGAATAGACAACCATGATTGTGTATTTTACACTGTCTTGCAAAATAATATTACTATTATAATAATAAAATTCAGATGCAAGTTATCTATGCTTGTATTATGATATTTAACTAGTTGCCGACCGCAGATATCCAAATGACGGCTACACTGCGGCCGGCCAGTTCTGGGGGAGGGCGTCATATGACATCCTCCCAGAACGCGCCCTTCTGCGTGCCCCCGGCGATCTCTGTGATCGCTGTGCCCTACAGACACAGCTGATCACGTGATGTGGTAAAAGGCCAATCACAGTGGTCTTTTACCACGTGATCGGCCATGTCCAATGACACACTGATCACAAGGAAATGCAGTTGCCGGTTTTCGGCTGCACTTTCCTCACGCTGTCAGAGGAAAGAACTGCCGAGAACCGGCATTTGTCAGAGCAGGGATCAGCTCCAATCATCAGGAGTGCTGACTATCAGTATCCATGATCAGTGCTGCCTATCAGTGCCACCTCATTAGTGCTGCCTATCCGTGCCACCTCATTAATGCTGCCTATCAGTGCCCTTCAGTACTGCTTATCAGTGCTGCTTATCAGTGCAACCTCATCAGCACACATCAGTGAAGGAGAAAAATTACCTGTTTGCAAAATTTTATAATTTAAAAAAAAAAAAAGACCAAAGAGCTGTCAAAAGACACCAGAGACAAAATTGTGGACTTCCACAAGGCTGGAAAGGGCTACGGGGCAATTGGCAAGCACCTTGGTGAAAATAGATCAACTGTTGGAGTAATTGTTAGAAAATGGAAGAGGCTAAAGATGACTGTCAGTCTCCCTCGGACTGGGGCTCCATGCAAGATCCCACCTCGTGGGGTATCACTGATAAGAAAGGTGAGGAATCAGCCCAGAACTACAAGGGAGGAGCTGGTCAATGACATGAAAAGAGCTGGGACCACAGTTTCAAAGGTAACTGTCGGTATAACACTACGCCGTCATGGTTTCAAATCATGCATTGCACGGAAGGTTCCCCTGCTCAAGTCATCACATGTCCAGGCCCGTCTGAAGTTTGCCAATGACCATCTGGATGATCCAGAGGAGGCATGGGAGAAAGTCATGTGGTCAGATGAGACCAAAGTAGAACTTTTTGGTCTAAACTTCACTCGTCGTGTTTGGAGGAAAAAGGATGAGTTGCATCCCAAGAACACCATCCCTACTGTGAAGCATGGGGGTGATAACATCATGCTTTGGTGGTGCTTTTCTGCGAAGGGGACAGGACGACTGCACTGTATTAAGGAGAGGATGAATGGGGCCATTTATTGTGAGATTTTGAGCAACAACCTCCTTCCTTCAGTCAGAGCATTGAAGATGGGTCGTGACTGGGTCTTCCAACATGACAATGACCCGAAGCACACAGCCAGGATAACCAAGGAGTGGCTCCGTAAGAAGCATATCAAGGTTCTGGAGTGGCCTAGCCAGTCTCCAGACCTAAATCCAATAGAACATCTTTGGAGGGAGCTGAAACTCCGTGTTGCTCAGCGACAGCCCCGAAACCTGACAGATCTAGAGGAGATCTGTGTGGAGGAGTGGACCAAAATCCCTGTTGCAGTGTGTGCAAACCTGGTCAAGAACTACAGGAAACGTTTGACCTCTGTAATTGCAAACAAAGGCTTCTGTACCAAATATTAACACTGATTTTCTCAGGTGTTCAAATACTTATGTTCAGCAGTGCAAGACAAATAAATTCTTTAAAAATCATACAATGTGATTTCCTGAATTTTTTTTTTTTTTTTTAAATTCTGTCTCTCAGAGTGGGAATGCACCTACAATGTGAATTTTAGACCCCTCCATGATTTCTAAGTGGGAGAACTTGCAAAATCGCAGGGTGTTCAAATACTTCTGTTCCTCACTGTATGTGGACTCGAAGTCCAGTGATGTACCAGTACGTCGCTGGTCCTTGTTGAGTGTATATGCTTTTTTTTTTTTTTTTTTTTATGTGGACTGAATGGAAAAAAAAAAGAAGAAATTTCTGCTAGAAAAAGTGTGTGGTATACCCACCATTAGAATATACTTCCCTGCATCCACCCACTTCTAATGTGCCAAAAATTATTATAAAATATTTTTTTCTTTCTTTGGAGAGTACATGTGATCAGCAGAGGGCCATACAATACTGTCCAGACAGAGGTCAGGGGATCTGCATCCTCCTAGAGCAGAAAGAAAACTCCTCCTACAAGCTTTAGCTAGTGTGGGGCTGGACACTGATAGAAGTCACAAGACTGTATACTGCTGATGAGAAAAGGTATTTAGCAGTTTATACTTTCTAAAATAATTGCACTTCCATGTTCTTTGTACTGTGGGAGGCAAGATGTAGTGAATGCAGGGTCTGGGGTTTAGTAGCACTTTAATTATATAAAAGTACTTGCAGTGCGGTCTACAGTATGCAAGCTTTGTGCATTTATTCGGTTAGAATGAATATTGAAAAATATACATGTCTAACTACAAACTGGTTTTCTCTGGCAGCATCCAGATGCAGACACGTTGTATGTCGAGTCAATAGATGTGGGTGAGGAAAATCCACGTACTGTGGTTAGTGGATTGGTGAATTATGTGTCTTCTGAAGAAATGCAGGGACGTTCTGTTATTCTGCTATGCAACTTAAAGCCTCAGAAGATGCGGGGAATAGAATCTCAAGGCATGCTGCTTTGTGCATCAGTGTAAGTAAAGCTAGTACATAAAATGTTATATATACAGTATCTCCCAGAAGTGAGTACATCCCTCACATTTTTGTAAATATTTTATTCTATCTTTTCATGTGACAACACTGAAGAAATGACACTTTGCTACAATGTAAAGTAGTGAGTGTACAGTTTTTAGACCAGTTTAAATTTGCTGTCCCCTCAAAATAACTCAGCACACAGCCATTAATGTCTAAACCGCTGGCAACAAAAGTGAGTACCCCCCTAAGTGAAAATGTCCAAATTGGGCCCAAAGTGTCAATATTTTGTTTGGCCACCATTATTTTCCAGCACTGCCTTAACCCTCTTGGGCATGCAGTTCACCAGAGCTTCACAGGTTGCCAGTGGAGTCCTCTTCCACTCCTCCATGACGACATCACGGAGCTGGTGGATGTTAGAGACCTTGCGCTCCTCCACCTTCCGTTTGAGGATGCCCCACAGATACTCAATAGGGTTTAGGCCTGGAGACATGCTTGGCCTCACCTGGTTTCCACAGCACACACTTGACACCGTCACCTTTACCCTCAGCTTCTTTAGCAAGGCAGTGGTCATCTTTGAGGTACGTTTGGGGTCATTATCATGTTGGAATACTGCCCTGCGGCCCAGTCTCTGTAGGGAAGGGATCATGCTCTGCTTCAGTATGTCACAGTACATGTTGGCATTCATGGTTCCCGCAATGAACTGTAGCTCCCCAGTGTCGGCAGCACTCATGCAGCTCCAGACCATGGCACTCCCACCACCATGCTTGACTGTAGGCAAGACACACTTGTCTTTGTACTCCTCACCTGGTTTCTGCCACACACGCTTGATACCATGTGAACCAAATAAGTTTATCTTGGTCTCATCAGACCACAGGACATGGTTCCAGTAATATATGTCCTTAGTCTGCTTGTCTTCAGCAAAATTGTTTGCGGGCTTTCTTGTGCATCATCTTTAGAAGAGGCTTCCTTCTGGGATGACAGCCATGCAGACCAATTTGATGCAGTGTGCGGTGTATGGTCTGAGCAGTGACAGGCTGACCCCCCACCCCTTTAACTTCTGCAACAATGCTGGCAGCACTCCTATGTCTATTTCTCAAAGACAACCTCTGGATATGACGCTGAGCACGTGCACTGAACTTCTTTGGTCGACCATGGCGAGGCCTGTTCTGAGTGGAATTTGTCCTTTTAAACTGCTGTATGGTCTTGGCCACCATGTTGCAGCTCAGTTTCAGGGTCTTGGCAATCTTCTTATAGCCAAGGCCATCTTTATATAGAGCAACAATTCTTTTTTTCAGATCCTCATAGTTCTTTGCCATGAGGTTCCATGTTGAACTTCTAGTGACCAGTATGAGAGAGTGAGAGTGATAACACCAAATTTAACACACCTGCTCCCCATTCACACCTGAGACCCAATTTGAACATTTTCACTTAGGGGTGTACTCACTTTTGTTGCCAGCGGTTTAGACATTAATGGCTGTGTGTTGAGTTATTTTCAGGGGACAGCAAATTTACACTGTTATACAAGCTGTACACTCACTACTTTACATTGTAGCAAAGTGTCATCTCTTCAGTGTTGTCACATGAAGTGTGTGCGTTAGTTATACAATACACCTGCACTAAGGTGTGATCACTTATGTGTTGTCCTTCAACTGAATATAGATCCTGATTGGTGTGGAAGGGGCATTTTAGTCCCAGCAGACATATTCAGCAAGTTTTTGGACCTATTCACAGTACTTATTATTGGTTTATTATACATTCCATTATTCTTTTTTATGCATAATAGGGATTATTGTGAGGGAGGTGGTTTGTAGCACCATAATATTTTCTTGCTTGGGAGTATATGCATATATATGATTCATAGCGCTTTATTATGTATATTGCATAGGTTTATATATTTGACACACATTATTGAAGGATTGCACATAGTGATCACACCTTAGTGAGGGAGGTGTATTGTAGTATTTTTTTTTTTTTTTTTTTTTTTTTTTTTGCGTTCTGGCAGCACTACACCATATATATATTTATTTCATCCACTGTGCATTATTACATTATATAAAAATTTCCTTCTGCAAATTAATTCCATATCAAGTCATAAAGCTTTAGAACTATTTATCATTAGTTGTACATAAAAGTAAACCCTTTTCTCTACTGTATAGTTAAAATAATATTAAATAAGATATTTGACTGCCATAAACACTGAATAGCAGGCTGCTCTAAGCCTGGTCTCACTGTTTATCTATGAGGTCTATAACTGTTAATGGCCAATAGTGAGGTGGTGAGGGGCAGGCTATTGACCCAGTGACAATAGGAGATGGTCACCATTTATGTACCACTTGGGTACTACAATAGATTGAAAGGGATATGCAGGCAGCTGGAGGCTCCCACTGTTCAGTGTATTGTAACTGTAACGTCTGCCTTAATTTTGTAAAGCGCTGCACAAACTGTTGTCACTATATAAATCCTGTATAATAATTATAATAAATGGCAGTTTTCTACATGGGTCTTTGCCACAGGTTCATTTTAAAGTCTGACATTTTGAATATAGTAGAGTGGGGAAAGTTTAGAACCTTTTAGGTTGTGACTGCTATTCAATACTGTTAGTGAGATTTTTCCCTCACTTTCTGACATGTTTTACCATATAGGAAATTAAGGGTATTTTCCAGCAGCAAAATAGACAGAAACAAAAATGCTTTTGCTTACTAGAGTAGGAGAAAGCTAGCAAGTCAGACAGGGGTCTAAACTATCCAAAACTTTTTCTTTTTTTAAATAAAGCTTTGGCCTTGGCACATGCTTATTTTTATGTGAAACATAACAATGGGCAGTAATGTGTTTATACAGAATAAAGGCTTATGGCATACTACAGTGCTTTAACTACAGTTGTGTCCAAAATTATTCAACCCCCACTGAAATTGAGTGTTTTGGCCAGTTTGACATTGCTTTTGATCATTCAGTCATCTTGCTTACATTTACATTAAAGAGGCACTTGTAGGTCAGACAAATATAACATAACAGTTATAATGAAATAACCACAAATGTCTTTTCTGTGCTCACAGCATTATCAGTTTTATTCAACCCCCAAGTGACATTCAATCTTAGTACTTAGTACAGCATCCTTTTACAGTTATAACAGCTTTTAAACGTGAAGCATAGCTTGACACAAGTGTCTTGCAGCGATCTACGGGTATCTTCGCCCATTCTTCATGGGCAAAGGCCTCCAGTTCAGTCACATTCTTAGGCTTGCGCACTGCAACTGCTTTCTTTAAGTCCCACCAGAGGTTCTCAATCGGATTTAAGTCTGGTGACTGCGATGGCCACTCCAAAATGTTCCAGCCTTTCCTCTGCAACCATGCTCTAGTGGACTTGGAGGTATGCTTGGGATCATTGTCCTGTTGAAAGGTCCAACGTCTCCCAAGCCTCAGGTGTGTGACGGACTGCATCACGTTTCCATCCAATATCTCCTGGTACTGAAGAGAATTCATGGTACCTTGCACACGCTGAAGCTTCCCTGTACCTGCAGAAGCAAAACAGCCCCAAAGCATGATTGACCCTCCACCATGCTTCACAGTAGGCAAGGTGTTCTTTTCATCATAGGCCTTGTTCTTCCTCCTCCAAACATAGCGTTGATCCATGGGCCCAAACAGTTCTAATTTTGTTTCATCAGTCCACAGAACACTATCCCACAACTTTTGTGGTTTGTCCACATGGCTTTTGGCATACTGCAGTCGACTCTTCTTATTCTTTGGAGACAGCAAGGGGGTACGCCTGGGAGTTCTGGCACGGAGGCCTTCATTACGCAGTGTGCGTCTTATTGTCTGGGCTGAAACTTCTGTACCCACATCTGACAAATCTTTTCTCAGTTCCTCAGCAGTCACACGGGGACTTCTCTCCACTCTACGCTTCAGGTAGCGCACAGCAGTCGAAGTCAGCATCTTCTTTCTGCCACGACCAGGTAGCGTTTCAACAGTGCCCTTTGCCTTGAATTTGCGAATGATGCTTCCTAAGGTGTCTCTTGGTATGTTTAACATCTTTGCAATCTTCTTATAGCCATTGCCCTTCCTGTGAAGAGAAATCACCTCTTCTCTTGTCTTCCTGGACCATTCTCTTGCCTTCACCATGTTTGTAACCACACCAGTAAATGTCTAGAAGGAGCTGAGTATCACAGTCATTTTAAAGCTGCCTAATTGGTGCTTATTATGCTTGATTGCTGCTCGGTGACATCCACAGGTGTTTTCAATACCTGATGGAAAGCACCTGTATGAACCTCTGTTCTTCAGAGTGGTAGTCTTTAAGGGGTTGAATAATTGTGGCAATGAAGAAACCACATAAGAACCATTTACTACTGTATTACATAAACAATTGATGTCATTTTAGTTGCATTTGGGTAGTTACAACGTCCTTGTAGGATTTGATTCTGAATACAATTCCAAATGTACACTATAGTCCCTAAACCCCTTTACAGCATTGGGGGTTGAATAATTTTGGACACAACTGTATATACCTAACAAGGTGTAGGACTCGCTTCACAGGACCTATGCTACAGGGAGTAAGGACTCTTTTACACCCCTGTTGAGTTTGGCACAGTACGACCAGCTAAAGCAACCCATTCAAGTGAATAGAGCCATGCCACAACCTTGTTTATTGCTTGTGGATGCAGAATGATGAGACGGCATTTACAGGTTTGAAACAAGCAGTGGGGAGGCAACATAAGGCCTTCTTAGCACCTGCCAAACACCTTGAAAATCCACTGCAGACCGCTTTTTAGATGTGCGGTGATAACCATATGTCTGTGTAGCCTAATAGCATGATAATATGCATTTGGTGTCACTTGAAATGTTCAAGAGATTGGATGTACACATAAACTGGAAAATACTTTTAATTGTGGTTTTAGGACTGTTTGTGATGCTCATATTTGTTTACTTTTCTCCCCGTGTTGTAATTGAAAGAACTATCACTGTTACTATAAAAGATAGCTAATGTCCTAACTAACAACTTAATGGTTGTATCTGTCTCAGTGATGGGGACAATAGACGGGTAGAACCTCTGGATCCACCTGCAGAATGTGCACCTGGTGAGCGAGTCTATGTTGAGGGATATGAAAATGGAAAGCCAGAAGCAGAGCTTAAGCCGAAGAAGAAAGTGTTTGAAAATTTACAGGTATTCATTTATTCCCTTCTATGCCTCACCCTTTTATCTGTTTCTCTATCATTCTTGGTTTCACCTCCCTGTTTTTTTTTTTTTTTTTTTTTTTTTTTTCCAGGCCGACTTTAGGATATCTGAGGATTTGCATGCTCAGTGGAAAGAAAAGAATTTCCTTACTAAACAAGGACCAGTGACCTGTAAAACACTACGAGGGGGCAGCATTAGCTGATTGCATGGAAAATGTTATCCATTGTACACAATTGATACCCTCTTTAACTAATTCAGTGCCAGAGGGCTCACCCATGTCTACATAACAGTTAAACGTCTTATATATATCAGTAGCTGCATGTGACTGGGATCTGGAATCACCATTCCTTGTCATCAAAAGAATGTATATTGTCAAAATTTTAAAAAATCCTATAATAAATTGTTGAAAATAACAGATTTTTTTCATACAGATTTTCAATCAAAGCTAATAACATACACTATATTGCCAAACGTATTGGGACACCCCTCCAAATCATTGGATTCAGGTGTTCCAATATCCTCCATGGCCACAGGTGTATACAGTCAAGCACCTAGGCATGCAGACTGCTTCTACAAACATTTGTGAAAGAATGGTTCACTCTCAGGAGCTCAGTGAATTTAAGCGTGGTTCCGTGATAGGTTGCCACCTGTGCAATAAGTCCATCTGTGAAATTTCCTTGCTACTAAATATTTCACGGTCAACTGTTAGTGATATCATAACAAAGTGGAAGCAACTGGAAACAACAACTCAGCCACAAAGTGGTTGGCCACGTAAAATGATAGAGTGGGGTCAGCGCTTGCTGAAGCGCACACGTTGCCAACTGTCTGCAGAGTCAATAGTTAAAGACCTCCAAACTTTGTGTGGTCTTCAGATTAGCATAACAGTGCGTAGAGAGCTTCATGGAATGGATTTCCATGGTCGAGCAGCTGCATCCAAGCCTTACATCACCAAGTGCAATACAAAGCGTCAGATGCAGTGGTGTAAAGCACGCTGCCACTGGACTCTAGAACAGTGGAGATGTGTTCTCTGGAGTGTCGAATCACGTTTCTCTGTCGGTCAATCCGATGGATGTGTCTGAGTTTGGCAGTTGCCAGGAGAACGGTGCTTGCATTGTGCCAAGTATAAAGTTTGGAGGAAGCAGGATTATGGTGTGGGGTTGTTTTTCAGAGGTTGGCCTGGGTCCCTTAGTTCCAGTGAAGGGAACTCTTAAGGCGTCAGCATACCAAGACATTTTGTACAATTTCATGCTCTCAACTTTGTGGGAACAATTTGGGGATGGCCCCTTCCTGTTCCAACATGACTGCACAAAGCAAGGTCCATAAAGACATGGATGAGCGAGTTTGGAGTGGAGGAACTTGACTGGCCTGCACAGAGTCCTAACCTTAACCCGACAGAACACCTGAACTGAGAGCCAGGCCTTCTCGTCTAACATCACTGCCTGACCTCACAAGTGCGCTTCTGCAAGAACGGTCAAACATTCCCATAGACACAATCCTAAACCTTGTGGACAGCCTTCCCAGAAGAGTTGAAGCTGTTATAGCTGCAAAGGGTGGGCCAACTCAATATTGAGCTTTACGGACTAAGACTGGGATGACATTAAAGTTCATGTGCGTGTAAAGGCAGGTGTCCCAATACTTTTGGCAATATAGTGGATATTGTCAACTTAAAGCAAAAATCCAGCTTGGTATTTAAATTATTACTAAATCCACAACAGTAAAATCAGTCTGTATATGCAGTAAAGCATACTTGTTATACTCCCTGTGGAACCTAAAGGGTTAATCCTCTGTATTGTGTAAAAACACTGTTTGATCCTGACTTCTCTGATCCTACCATTTTTCCAGTGTCCCCCTCGTGTGGTCACCCTGTACATGCTCAGTTTGGTGTGTATTGCTAGATAGGTGTTTTTTTTTTTTTTCTTCTTGGGAGAGTGCATGTGATCCTAGAGCAAAATGAATACTCACCTCCAAGCTTTAACCAGTGCTTGGCTGGGCACTGATAGAAGTCACAAGACTGCTCTAACTGCTGATGATAAAAGGTATTTAGCAGTTTATATTTACTAAAATAATTGCACTTCCGTGTTCTGTGTACTGTGGGAGACCAGATATAGTGAATGCAGGGTCCGGGGTTTAGTAACACTTTAATAACTGGTCTGGTTTCAGTAAAAGTTTGTATTATTTAAAGAAAGGCCTCTTTGTTTTCCAGAAATTAATACGTTCATATTCAAGTGGTTTTGAAAGCCCCTTTTTTCTGTTTAAAGATTAGCTTCACTAACTGGTGTTTAGCAAGGGCGTTCATGGGATTTTGTGTAATTGGTTCACAATATTCATGCCATACTTTGCCAGTGTAAAACTGTTCTTCTGGGTCCTCTTCTCTTGCAGTTGCCTCTGCCTGGTGAAGAGAGTTTGCATAAGGAAAATCCATTTACTAACCTGCTGGACTGGACTCTGCGAGGCTAGCCTGGAAGTGATCTTTGGGTACTGGCTTCCAAGTAGAGGGAATTGTTCAATTAGCTGCAGAATGCTTTCTAGGTCCAGAGGTATTGCCTCTGTGAAGACTTGATTAGTCAGTAGGCCGGTGAGGCTGAGCACCAGGAGCTCCCATCTTTTTATATGGTCCCTGGGCACCATTATTCCTTGTTTATCATCAGCTTTGATGAGGAAGGGGTAAAACTGGAACTAAACACGACATTATTTCTGGATGGAGTGTTATGCTTTCTATCATACAGCATTGAGATCAGGTTCACACTGATGCGGTTTCGGGAAACACTGCGAATCCTGTGCGTTTCCCGCATCACATTCCAGTCGCATGGCACTCATGCAATCTGGTGTGGCTATCAATGTTAAATTATTGACACCCCGAAACCGATTGCAAAACGCTATGTAATTGCCAGACGTAGCATCGCATGGGTGAAAACACCCATTTGATGCAATGCAATTCAGGTGCAGGTAAAAACAAGGGTCGTGCACATGCGATTTGAGCCATACAAAATGCATGGCTCAAATCGCACCACACAGACATTGCATATAATTCGCACAGGAATGTGGTGAAATTCCTGTGCAAACTACATGTGGTGTCCCGCACTGCATTAGTCTGCCTGAGGATGCATCTCTCCACTGCTACTCCTATCTACATACAGCCAATGTGGAACTTTGAACTTTTCCTGCTACTAACCGACAGTTACTTTTTTTCCGAACCTCCGGCCATCCAACCCTCTGGCCGCTGACACTTAATCCTGCATGTTGCCTAACCATGCTTCAACTGCAATATGTCTGATCCTGGACGCAGGGTTGGGGGCATTCCTGCTAACAGGATTCCGAAAGCTCACATTTCACTGACTGGTTTTGGGTTGCTTGCAGTGTGCCTAATGTCCGTGCCAACGTATGCAGCCTAGACTTGTTTCTCCCTCCATCAGTCCACTTTAGCTCTTTTGGGTGTGACTGGGTCCTCTGTCCTATTGTTTTTACTATGGTCATCCATGAATTTATGCCTCAAATTACACGGTTGTTTGCTGACAATGATTGCATAGGCCGTAAATGTGTTCCTGTGCCCTCTCCAGTAGTTTCTTTATTTGACCTGCAACTCAGACAGTTTATAAGCCATCACTTACAGAGACTCTGATTCTGGGTAGCTGAAATCCTTGACAGCAATCTACTGCTTTTACACTGAAACTTGAGGATCAGCCTGTTACATCTACCAAGGCTGTTTCTAGTCTTGGGTCATTTAAGACCACAAAGACACTTTCCCTTTTGCTTTGCTTTTCCAACGGTGTCTGTCTCTGGAGATTGGAAGCACCCTGATAAGTTGTCTGTTACCGCTACTGCATTTTTTGAGAATTTTAATCTGAAATGGTCCATTATTACCGAGGATTCAGCTGTATATCGCTTTAACAAAGTGGCTTCCATACTATAGGTGGATACACCTGCCTTTTAAAGTGTATTTTCACCTTTGCTGTTGTAACCACCCCCCAACTATAGGTCTATGTTCCCATTCACAACATACCTAAAAATATTTTTTGAAATATTTACCTTTTTTATGTTTTTTTTTTTTTTAATTATTTATACATAAGGCCTTGTTCACACAGGGTGTATCAATGCCGACACCCATATGGCGCAGTGTTTACCTGCACAGGGATCCACAGGTGTTCCATGCAGGTAGTCCCAATTAATGTAATTTGTGACATAGCTGCTGCTCCCAATTTGGCATTCATGTGGATACATGTGCATTTCCCTAAACTCACATGGTTTGCACTGATATGTCCCATGTGAATGAGGACTCTACAAGCAGCTTATATTGTTAGAATAACTTGCAATGTTCAATTGGGGGACAGACTGAGAGGCAATTTTTTGTTTTAAAATGCCATTAACATACAATATACCAAGCCTTGAGATCATTAACACCTTAGCACAGAGTGTGCATATTTTGTTTCTAACTGATAAGATCTGGCAGCACATTACAGAAAGGGTTATTTGTGGAAAATATACCCCCACCCCCCAAAGGGGAAAGCTAAGTAGGATTTCCCAGAACGTGAAAAAGTAAATGGCAATTTATTTTGGTTATGCTATTTATGATATATGCTTTTGTAGCCTCCTGGGATGTGTGACATGTATCCCAGGAGGCTGCAGGCAGGGAGATATTACTTGACCTTTTCATGTGCTGCATGGAAAGCTAAGCATCCCAAATCTTACAAGAGGTTGCTGCAACACTAGGCAACACAGCATTCTTATGGGATCTGGGATCCTCCGCTTGCCAGGATCCCACAGGAAGGCCAATTGCCATCACTGACACCTAGGCTAACCTGCTGGAAGCCTTAACCACTTGGTCTCTGAAAGATCTGACCCCATTCATGACCAGACCCTTCTTTGCTATTCAGCACTGTGCTGCTTTAACTGGAAATTGCACGGTCATGCAGCACTGTACACAAATTAAATTGATTTTTTTTCACACAAATAGAGCCTTTCTTTTGGTAGTGTTTGAACACCACTGGGTTTTTTTTTTTGCAAAATAAATGAAAAAAGACCAACATTTTTGAAAAAAAAAATGTTTTCTACTTTCTGTTATAAAACATATCCAATAAAATCAAATTTCTTCATAAATTTGGTTTGTGTGAAAGTCATAACTGTATATATACCATAGTTTGTAGATGCTAAGTCCATATATATATATTTGGACACAGGCACAATTAGATTTTTCAGGTTTTGACCAACTCATATTCAAGCTATAGTTATATAATGGATATGGGCTGAAAGTGCACACTCTCAGGTTTGATTTGAGGGTATGTATTTCCAAATTGGAGAGAGGGTTTAGGAATTACAGCTCTTAAGAGTAACCATCCCCCTTTTTTCAAGGGACTAAGAGTAATTGCACAATTGAATCAAAAGCTGTTTCATGGCCAGGTGTGGGCTACTCCGTTATTTCTTCATCAATTAAGCAGGTAAAAAGTCTGGAGTTGATTCTAAGTGTGGGATTTGCATTTGGAATCTATTGCTGTGAACCTACATCATGTGTTCAAAGGAGCTGTCCATGCAAGTGAAACAGGCCATTGTAAGGCTTCAAAAATGAAAGACATCCATCAGAGAGATAGCAGCAACATTAGGAGTGGCCAAATCAACAGTTTGGTACATTGTGAGGAAAGAAGAATGCACTGGTGAGCTCAGAAACATAAAAAGGCATGGACGTCCAACGGAAGACAACAGTGGTGGATAACCGCAGGGATCCTCTCTATGGTAAACAAAAACCCATTCACAACATCCAGACAAGTGACAGTCTCCGGGAGATGGGCGTATCATTGTCAAAGTCTACAATCGAGAAGACTTCACGAGAGCAAATACAGAGGGTTCACCACAAGGAGCAAACCATTCATAAGCCTGAAGAATAGAAAAGCCAGATTAGACTTTGCCAAAAAAAATCTAAAAAGCCAGACCAGTTATGGAAAAGCATTCTTTGGATGGATGAAACTAAGTTTAATGTGTACCAGAATGATGGGAAGAAAAAAGTGTGGAGAAGGCTTGGAACAGCTCATGATCCAAAGCACACGTCATCTGTAAAACATGGTGGAGGCAGTGTGATGGCATGGGCATGCATGGCTTCCAGTGGCACTGGATCACTGGTGTTTATTGATGATCTGACAGATGGATGAATTCTGCAGTGTTTAGAGAGATACTGTCAGCCAAATGCAGCAAAGTTAATTGGACAGCACTTCACAGTACAGATGGACAATGATCCAAAACACACTGCAAAAGCAACCCAGGAGCTTTTTGAAGGAAAAGAAGTGGAATATTCTGCAATGGCCAAGTCAATCACCTGATCTGAACCCAATTGAGCATGCATTTTACTTGCTGAAGGCAGAACTAAAGGTAGAAAGACACAAACAAAGCACAACCGAAGACAGCTGCAGTTAGAGCCTAGCAAAGCATCAGAAAGGAAGAAACCCAGTCTTTGGTAATGTCCATGGGTTCCAGACTTCAGGCAGTCATTGCCAGTAAAGGATTATCAACAAAATAATAAAAATGAACATTTTATTTATGATTGTATTGAATTGTCCAATTACTTTTGGTGCCTTTAATAAAGTGGGGGTGGCTTTTCTTAAGAGCTGTAATTCCTAAACCCTTCCTCCAATTTGGATGTACAGTTGTGTTCAAAATAATAGCAGTCAGACATCACTAACCTGATCAATCACTGTTTTTGGTAGAAATGATATTTCTACATGGCAAATAATTTACTAGCAGGTGTAGTAGAGTAATAGAAATCCAACAGCCATGACATGCATGCTGCTGATTCTGTGTAATTGAATCACCAATTGAAAGGGGCATGTTCAAAATAATAGCAGTGTGGAGTTCTATTAGTGAGGTCATTCATTCTTTGAAAAACAGGTGGCAGTTATTGCCCTTATTTAAGGAAGGAAGGCAGCAAATGTACATGCTGGTCACAGTGCATTTCTCTCTGAAATTCTGAGGAAAATGGGTTGTTCCAGACATTGTTCAGAAGAACAGCGTACCTTGATTAAAAAGTTGATTGGAGAGGGGAAAACATATAAAGAAGTGCAGAAAATGATAGGCTGCTCAGCTAAAATGATCGCAAATGCTTTCAAATGGCAGCCAAAACCTGAAAGATGTGGAAGAAAGCAA